CAATGTGATATAATAAAGGAAACATGAGGGAGAGAGGAAGGAAGGGAGGGAATGTTGTTAGGAGTAGGGGGAAGAGTGAGAGAGAGAGAGGGAGAGGGAGATTGGAAAGGAAGAAATCAGAAATCATTATTTTTTGCAAGTGGTAAGATGACCTGTTTATTTATTGAGACAGAGTCTTGCTCTGTCTCCCAGCCTGGAGTACAGTTGTGTGATCTCGGCTCACTGCAACCTCTGCCTCCTGGGTTCAACTGATTCTTGTGCCTCAGCCTCCTGAGTAGCTGGGATTACAGGCGTGTGCCACCATGCCCAACTAATTTTTTGTATTTTTAGTAGAGACAGAGTTTCACCATGTTGGCCAGGCTGGTTTCAAACTCCTGACCTCAAGTTATCCACCTGCCTCGGCCTCCCCAAGCGCTGGGATTACAGGTGTAAACCACTGTGCCAGGGCAAGATTGTCTATTTGAACTAATAAAAGAATTTAGCAAGTTTGCTAGGAATGAGATTAATATACATAAATCAGGTGCATTTTTGTACCAGTATCAAGTAAATACAATTTTTAAAACAGATAGCATTTACAAATCGCACACAAAGCTATAAAGTGCCTAAGTATAAATCTAACAAAAGTTGTGCAAGGTCCTGGTAAAAACAAACACACACATCTTATGTTACCAGGGCAACCCTGGAGACACAGCTGAGAAAGCACATTATTTTCTTAAACAGTAGATAACTAAGAAAACTCATTGTTCTTCCTTAAACAGGTTTTTTAATCATTTTATCTACATGTATGTTTGCTTAAGAGAACTTCAGATGGCCCAGGAGTCTCTAGACTCTGGCTATTACTGGAGGAAGATAAGGTCAGAGCAAGACCCCAGCAAACCAGAGCTGGCGACCCCTTGTTACCTTTAGATCATTGACGTATCATTGTAATGCTAAAGTCCTGTATTAGGCCATGCTGCTGATAAAGACATATCTGAGACTAGGCAATTTACAAAATAAAGAGGTTTAATTGGACTAACAGTTCCATGAGGTTGGGGAAGCCTCACAATCACAGTGCAGGGCAAAGAGGAACAAGTCACATCTTACATGGATGGCAGCAGACAAAGAGATAAGTCAAAATTGAAGAAGACAGAAGCACAAGAGAAAAATCCACTGCCTTCCAAAGAAACAATTGAACAGGAGACGCAAGCTGGTGAATCGTAATGAGGCATGTGCTGCCAATATGCACTGTACATTCCACAAGCATTGCTTTCTTATTTTACTTCTTTTAGCTGTTTAACTTCGTAAGATGCAGAGAGGTTGGATCAAGTTTAAATGACTCTGCTGACCCTTTCACATCAAAGAACTACTGACAATGAAGGCCAAACCTGCCACTCCCATCTGTCTGTCTGGCTGGCAGAAAAGGAAAGAACGTGCATGTTGGTGAAGGAAGAAGTGGGGTGGAAGAAGTAGGGTGGAACAACAGTAAAATCTAGAGTAAAACCAAGCTGGCCCAAGGTGTCATGCAGGCTGTAATACAGTTTAACCAGAGTGCCATTTTTTTTTGTTGTTGTTCAAATGATTTTAAGTACTGGAATGCACAATTTTAGAAAAATATGCAAACAGAAGTTTAAAAACTTAAAAAAAAAAAAAAAAAAAGGGAGGGGAAACTCCTCTTTTTAAAACCATCAGATCTCAGGAGACTTATTCACTATCATGAGAACAACCTGGGAAAAGCTTGCCCCCATGATTCAATTACCTCCCACCAGGTCCCTCCCACAACACGTGGGAATTGAAGATGAGATTTGGGTGGGGACACAGCCAAACCATATCAAATGCCCACCCCTAGAAGAAAATTGCTGCCATTTTCTGAACATACCTCATATGAAGAAGCATGTTTATGATCTGCAGCTGCACATCTGGAGTCCCTCCCATGCTTACATACATACCTCCCCGCCCCACATCTAATTCCTTAAAGTTCCCTGGCTTCCATCACCTTCTGGAGAAGGGGTTCTTTAGAAAAAGAGCTCACTCCTTCATTCCTGACCAGCAATAAAACCTGCTTGCCTTTTTCTTCCAATTGGATATTCTTTCTTGGCCGTCAATACAAAGTAAGGAAAGAACTTGGTTTCCCAATGACAGAAGGAAATAAAGGATGACCAAAATAGATTGAGGGATATACTGTGTATATGATTGGGAAGAAGCAGTGTCGAGATGCAAGCTCTCCTGTGCTCCTAAAAATCTGTACACAGAATACATTTTACTAAAAAGATCCTATAAAACGTATTTGTGGAAATTGAGGTTTATCTTCTTTTAAAACATAATTTCAACTTTTATTTTAGATTCAGAGAGTACCTGTGCAGGTTTATATATTGTGTGAAGCTGAGGTTTGGGGTGTGAATGATCCCATCACTCAGGTAGTGAACATAATACCCAACAGTTTTTCAACCCTTTCTCCCATTCCCTCTTTTTTTTCTCCCTCCAGTCTAGTAGTCCCCAGAGTCTATAGACATCTTTCTGTTCATGACCATCCAATGTTTAGCTCCTACTTATAAGTGAGAATACATGGTATTTGGGTTTCTGTTCTTCTGTTAATTCACTAAGGATAATGGCCTCCAGCTGCATCTATGTTGCTGCAAAGGACATGGTTTCATTCTTTTTCATGGCTGTATAGTATTCCATGGTGTATATGCACCACATTTTCTTCATCCAATCCACTGTTGACAGGCATCTAGGTTGATTCCATGTCTTTGCTATTGTGAATAGTGCTGCAATGAACATACAAGTCCAACTGTCTTTTTGGTAGAATGATTTTCTTTTGGATATATACCCAGTAGTGGGATTGCTGGATTGAATGGTAGTTCTAAGTCTGAGAAATCTCCAAACTGCTTTTCACAGTGGCTGAACTAACGTACATTCCCACCAACAGTGCATAAGCATTTCCTTTTCTCTGAAACCTCACCAGCATCTGTTGTTTTTTGACCTTTTAATCATAACCATCCTGACTGGTATGAGATGATATGCTCTTGTGGTTTTGAGTTGCATTTCTCTGATGATTAGTGATGATGAGCATTTTCTCATGTGTTTATTGGCTGCTTGTATGTCTCCTTTTGAGATGTGTCTGTCATGTCTTTTGTCCACTTTTTGATGGGTTTTGTTCCTTAAGTTCCTTATAGATTCTGGATATTAGACCTTTGTGGGATGCATACTTTGTGAATATAATCTTTTTCTCTCATTCTGTGTGGTGTCTGTTTATTCTGATGATAGTTTATTTTGCTGCCCAGAAGCTCTTTAACTAGGTCCCACTTGCCAATTTTTGTTTTTGCTGCACTTGCTTCTGAGGACTCAGTCACAAATTCTTTTCCAAGATCAGGGTCCAGAATGGTGTTTCCTAGGTTTTCTTCCAGGATTCTTACAGTTCAAGGTCTTACTTTAAATCTTTAATCCATCTTGTGTTAACTTTTGTATATGGCGAATGGTAGGGGTCCAGCTTTAAAATATCTTAGACTGGGTAACTTATAAAAAACAAATTTATTGCTGACAGTTCTGGAGGCTGGAAATTCAAGAGCAAAGCACTGGCAGATTTTGTGTCTGGTGGAGACCTGCTTCCCATTTCATAAACGCCTGTTTTCTTGCTGTAATCTCACATGATGGTAAAGATGAGGGAGCTCTCTGGAGTCTCTTTTATTTTACTTATACTTTTTTTTTTTTTTTTGAGACAGAGTCTGGCTCTGTCACGCAGTCTGGAGTATGGCAGCATGATGTTGGTTCACTGCAACCTCTGCCTCCTGGGTTCAAGCGATTCTCCTGCCTTAGCCTCCTGAATAGCTGGGATTACAGGCATGTGCCACCATATGCAGTTAATTTTTGTGTTTTTAGTAGAAACGGGGTTTTGCCATGTTGGCCAGGCTGGTCTTGAAGTCCTGACTTCAGGTGATCTGCCTGCCTTGGCCTCCCAAAGTGCTGGGATTACAGGCGTGAGCCACCACGCCCAGCCTGGAGTCTGTTTTATAAGGGCACTAATCCCATTCATGAGGGCTCCACCTTCATGACCTAATCACTTCCCAAAGGCCCCACCTCCAAATACCATCTCCTTGGGTGCTAGGATTTCAACATATAAATTTTAGCTGGAGGGGGGACACAAACATTCAGACCATGGCACATATATTACTGTATAATGTATACTATGCTATATATATTTTTATATGGTACATATTATATACAGTTGTATATAATTCTTAAATTATTTCTCATTTAATCTTGCTCTTTCCTTGGTGGTGGTCCTTCTTTTCTCTTGTCTGTACTTTTCAATTTGCAAGGTTCTTTGATTCTTCTCAAGCCTCCAGCTCCAATGCCCATCTTTATCTGGAAGCTCTAGTGTGCCTGTGTACACTAGATAATAGTTTATGGTTAAGAGCCACAAACTCTGCAGACAGAATCCCTGGGTTCTAATCCCATGACTTACTCACTGTGTGATCTTGGCCAATTGCTTAGCCTTTCTGTGCCTCAGTTTCCTGTGTTATAACATGAGGATATTCACAGCATCTACTTGTCTCAGAGACTGTGGCTATCCACCAAAATCCATTCTCCCTGTTTTTTATAGCAATAGAATAAAACTATTCTGTTATTTTGTGACTATTCTGTTTTATGTGGCCGGTCTCATGGATGTCCCACTGGAGAACATGTTCAGCCTCCCTTCCAGGTAGTGAGACTGAGAGTGAGTGCCTGCAGATAAAATGTGACTGTCGCCCGTGTGTGTCAGACCCAGGCCTGGGGCATATGAGATCAGGTGGGTCTTGTCCACAGCCACTGTTAGCCTTCTCAGTGGCTGAGACCAAGATAGGGTGGCAGCTGAGCTTCAGCCAAGGAGACAATGATGATGGCCTGGGGGTGGTGGAACAATGGCTAGGACAGACCTTAAATGTCTCTGGGGAGCAGAGCTGCCCCACTAACCTGGACCATTGTCTCTAGAATTGCTAGATGAGAATGCAACAAATAAATAATAGAGAATAAATGACTGCATCCTTTAAGCCATTGTATTTTGGAGTATATTTGTTAGTCTACAAAACCTGCCTCTGTGAATGCAGTTCAGGCCCTGAAGGCAGATGGAGCCAAATCCCAGGCTCCTGGTGGAGGAAGGTGCAGAGTCCGAGGACCCTTTGCACCCTTGTGCCTTCCCTCAGGCCCAAAGCTCCTGCAGACTCAGGCCCGTGAGCCCAGAAGTGAACCAGGCCTGATGTGGGGGTGTCAGGTGGATGGTTTAATGAGGGGAGGAGAGCTGGGCCCTGGGTGTGGGCTGACCTTCCTGTTTTCTGTCAGGGTTTCCCTGGAACCCTCCTCAGGAGTGGACACAGTAGAGCTGGACACTTCCACTGATCCGGAGCTCCCGCAGCTGCTCCAGGGCCTGCTGGTTCACACTGGTGGCCCCCAGTCCCTGCCCATTGAGCGCCAGCTTCAGCCCTCCCTCCTGGCACAGGAGCAGCACCTGGGAAAGGAGGAATGAGGAGGTTGCAGCTTCCAGCCAGACTTTCCCTTGTCTGCCTGATGCTCTCCCCAGTGAGACCCTCTCCTCTCAGAGGACACAAAGATTGGACCCGGAGGCAGCCAGTATAGTGCTGGAAAAGAACAGGACGGGGGCCTGGCTTGTCACCAGTCCACTGTGGCCTTTGACAAGGATCTTCCCAACCTTGGGCCTCAGTTTCACCGCCTGTAACCGGGGCTGCTTCCTGTAGAGGAGTGGTTCTGCGTGTCGGCATCATTAGGGGAGCTTTTTACTAAAGCCGATGTTGGGTCCCCACCTGCACCAATTGAGTTTCTGGCCATGGGATCCCTGGCATCAGAGTGGAGCATTGAGGACCGCTGTACAGACATGCGCTGTGCTCTGCTGGCTCGGGCCTCCCACCCCATAACATCTGCCCTGTACACCCGCCCCAGAGTCTCCCGGGTCATTAGGGGACTTCAGCTCTGTGTTCCAGCCTGAAGGGATGTAACCACTTGGCTCTGACCCACCTCAAAGAATCTCTGGGGGTAAAAGAGGAAGGGGGCTGAGATCAGCTTCTTCTGCCCCCAGGGGGATATCCAGGCCAGAGTTCTGTCTGTGAAGGAAGCCCTGAGTGTCACAGGAGCACGGGAAGCCTGGTCCCTCAGGCTCAGAGTGAAACTGCAGGAAGCAGGAGGAAGGAGAAGGGATCAGCACCCGTTGCCTGCAGGCTGCTGTTCAGCCCCCAGGGGAAGGGTGGAGGTGGGGGAGTGGATGGAAGATTGAGCTCTTCAGCCTCCAGAAACAAGCACTGAGGGCCTATGACAGCCTCACGGCTGGATGCTCAGAACAGTGGAAAGAACACGAGTTCTAGACGAACTTGACATTGACTTCAGGGTTGCCATCTACTGACTACAGGAGAATGGGGGTGGGAGAGAAATGTGTGAAAATTGCCTAGCCCGAGCCTCAGTTTCTCCTTCTCAAAATGGGGGTGATTATGATGATGATAGCCGCAGCTAACATTTATTGAATGCTCAGTGCCAGGTATTGTCTTAAAAATTGTCTTAAATGTTTTCCAAATAGCATAGTGGTTAGAGTCAGGCAGCCCAGGTTCAACCCTGGCTCTGCTACTTTCTAGTCCTGTGACCTTGGCCAAGACCCTTAATCTCTCTGCCTCAGCTTCCTCATCTGTAATGTGGAGATAACTGCACTGTACCTGCCTGTGGCATTGTCATAAGAATTAAACGAATGAATACATAAAAAATGCTTATGGAGAACAGCACCTGGTATGTAATAAGCATTCAGATGATACCTACTGTTTAAAAATATTACTATATAGTACAATCTCTACCTCACAGAGCCACAAAAAGGAACAGAGGAGATAATGTATGTGAAAACTAGTGATTCCTAGCACACAGTAGGTGTTTTACAGAAGCTAGTTTGCCTTTCCTTAATCCTCACAAATTCTGTGCTGTGAGTTTTCAGCCCATTTAAGTGATGAGAACAAGAAGTTAAATGACTTCTGTTACGAGTAATAGTCGTACAGCCTCAGGTTAGGATGTGAACTAGGATTCATGACCCCAGATTTGGGGGTGGGGGGATCCGGTACCTGCCTCTCAAATAGGGCAACCAGATTGTTATTATTTTTCTTTATTTTAGTTTTTTGAGACGGAGTCTTGCTCTGTTACCCAGGCTGGAGTGCAATGGCACAATCTCGGCTCACTGCAACCTCCACCTCCCAGGTTCAAGTGATTCTCCTGCCTCAGCCTCCCGAGTAGCTGGGATTACAGGTGTGCACACCACCACGCCCAGCTATTTTTTGTCTTTTTGATAGAGACAGGGTTTCACTATGTTGGCCAGGATGGTCTTGATCTCTTGACCTCGTGATCCACCCACCTCGGCCTCCCAAAGTGCTGGGATTACAGGTGTGAGCCACTGTACCTGGCCCAGATTATTTTTATCTCTTGGGAAATTCCAAAGTCTCCTTCTCTGAAGCACTATGCCGGAGAAGGCTGCATCCCGACAAGATGCAGAGAGCAGGTAAGGTAGGGGAAAAGGCCGCCCTGGACAGGCCTTTCAGGGACTACGGGTAGATCCTCACAAGAGGAGGTCCCGTAAGTTTCCAGCTTTGGGAAGGAGGTGGCCAGGACTCAATTTTGGAAAGAAGCTTGGAAGGCAGGAACCCTGGAGAGTGGACTGCGTGGAGCCTCCAGTCCCACTATGGCTACCCCTACCCTGTCCTGCCAGACAACGCTTTGTCTTTCCCTGGCCTGCGAACTCCTGGTGAGGACGCCTCAGTGTCTCCCTACCTCACCTCCATGCAGCTCAGCTCACCGGATCACCGGATAATCATGAATCACTAGATGCCCACTAGATCACTGAATAATCACAAATCACCAGATGCCCAGTGAAGCTCTGTTGAAGCTCTTTGAGGCTGCAGTCATATACTCCCACTCAGTGAGGAGGAGGGAAGGGATGAGGTGGAGAAAGAGGGATAGATTTTCACTGCAGATGAATCCTGTGCCCTCCATCTCTTACTCCCTCTGCCCCATTCAAGCCATCGGTTGCCTTCACAAAAGAGCAGCAGCTGCATTCTTTGCAGCCTTGCTAAGTACCAGGTGCTGTGCTAAATCTTCATGTTGGTGGATCTCAGCTGAACTGGTATATAGGAATGTTTTGTCTGGTCCATAGTATTCTTCAACTTTAATACAATATTCAAAAATTGAGAGAGTTTGTATAAAAGATGGCTTCTATTTTCGCTTTAAAAGTAGTCAGAAGATCTGGCATGACTGGGTATATGAAATACTCCTTCCCCTTCACCACCTTCCCAACTGGGTTCCTCACCATTTATGAGACTTGTCTGGCTTCTGAGGACACATGCATTCATGGCCCTTGGGAAAGGGCAGTTACTTGCTGACTATGTCATTAGTAACCTTGTGACTTTGAGCTACGATATGAACTGGGTCTCATGCCTCCAAGTTTTGTGGGAAGAAGTGTTGGTTCCATCACTGAGTACTTTTCATTTTCCCTAGCAGGCTGGAATTATCGTTCACCTTTTTCTGGTAGGGAAACTCAGACTCAGAGAGGTTTAGTGACTGGCCCACGACTGCCCCGTTTATAAGAGACAACTCAGCCGTGCCTGTCTTTGGAGGCTCAGGCCGCTGAGTGCTGAGCTTCATGCCTGCCCGGGAATTCACAGGCATGACTGACAGTGTGCGGGGTAAGGGTTTAGTGAGGTCAGTGGCTTAAACGTAAAAACAAAATTGAGTAAGAAGGCCAGGCACGGTGGCTCACGCCTGTAATCCACATCATTTCACTCCAGCCTGGGGGACAAGAGCGAGACTTTGTCTCAAAAAAAAAAAAAAAAAAAAAATTGAGCAAGGAGAACACAGGGTGCTTCCCTTCTTCCCTTACTCTGCCCTCCCCTGCCTGTACTGAGATGATTGCAATAGCACCCACATTTCTGGAGCACTTACCACATGCCAGGTACTATTCTAAGCACCACCCCTAAAGGTGGCATTATTATCAACCCCACTTTATTTATTTATTTATTTATTTATTTATTTATTTATTTTGAGAAGGAGTCTCGCTTTGTCACCCAGGCTGGAGTGCAGTGGTATGATCTCAGCTCACTGCAACCTCTGCCTCCTGGGTTCAAGCTATTCTCCTACCTAGCCTCCCAAGTAGCTGGGATTACAGGCATGCACCACCACACCTGGCTAATTTTTGTATTTTTAGTAGAGACGGGGTTTCACCATGTTGGTCAGGCTGGTCTCGAACTCCTGGCCTCATGATCTGCCCACCTCGGCCTCCCAAAGTTCTGGGATTATAGGCGTGAGCCACCACGCCCGGTCTATCATCTCCTTGTTACAGACAGGGAAACAGAGGCACGGAGAGGAAAAGTATCTGCCCTAAGGCTGCACAGGTAGTAGGTGTCCTGAGCACATGCCAACCCAGGCATTCGGGCCCAGAGAAGTCATAAACTCTAATGCATTTCCTCAAGGCAGGCTGGCCAGTGGCTCTTGTCTAACTGGATTGCAGCCACAGGTCTGGGTTTGAACGCACCATGTAGGAGAAGTTTGGTAGTGTCCACTTAGTCACTGTGTCCCTCCAAGTCCTGGCTTCCAAATACCAGTCCTCTTCTCCGGGGCAGTCTGGCTGTATCTTTTGAAGCACACATTGTGTTACCATGGGAAGTTACATATTTGCTCTGGGCCTCAGCCTGCATCTACAAAGGGCCTTTCCTGGGGCCCCTTTCCTAGGACCTGGGACAAGAGGCTAGGCCTGACTGCGTGTACCAGCAGGAATGATGCTCCCCGCACTGGGGCTGTTGGTCCCAGTCCCAGCCTGACCTTCATAAGCTCTGCCAAATTGGGCCACTTCTCCTTTCTGCTCCTCTGTTACCTCATCTGTAAAATGGGGATTAAATGGTGGGGCTAGGAGATTAAAAGAGATGATGTTTTATAGAGCATATGACTATCACAGAGAGGCTGCTCCCTCCCCTCCACTTACATGCTGGATACTTACTGCTTCGGCTCTTGCAAGACCAGTGCCCGCACTATGATGACCTGCCCGGGCCAGAGACCCTGGGGAAGAGCATGTGAGCAGGGCACCTCCTGAAGGAACGAGGGAGGTATTGAGAAGTTGATTCCCAGGGGATGTTGGGGAGAACCACCCACCCCCGGGGGCCAGGGGAGCACCCGGGCAGGCATGTTCTGCCCAGACCTGCAGCCAGGAGGCGCTGCTTATTTGTTTAGCACCTGGCCTCCTGTACTCCGTTCCTGCCGAACACTTTCCCTGGCCCCTCCAGGCTGAGCTTGGCCTCTCTGTGTCCCGACCACCATGTCCTTCTCCCTTCACTGCATCCTGAACTGTAATGACCATCTAGTGATCTGTCCCCCACCAGCTTGTGAGCAACTGGGTGGCTGGGACCAGCTTGTTCCTCTATCCTAGAGCCTGGCACTGGGCCTGGCACAGAGAAGTATCAAGTAACGATGTTCAGAATAAGTGGAGAAAAGGTAAAATGAAGCTGGAGCTTCAGCCTGAAGCTGCCCAGCCCTCCCACAGCCTGCAGCTTGCTATAAAGGAAGGGGAAATCCTGGGGCTGAGGGCGTAAACTTCCTGGCCCACCCACAGCCTGCAGTTTTCTGTAAAGGAAGGGGAAATCCTGGGGCTGGGGATTTGCCACCAGGAGGAGCTCATTAGCTGCTTACCCAGACTGCGCCCCCAGCCCTGATGGAGCAGGAGGGAGGTTCACTCACCAGCCTGGGGCTCATCAGCAGGAAAGGCTGTCAGGGAAAGAAAGAGAGGACACAAGGCCATGCGGTGTTTGCTCAGGAAAAGGGAACCTCTTGTTATTCTGACAAATTGGGAATCTTTGGGGCTTGTCTCTCTCACAGTAGCAGGTGAGTTATTGGAGCCCCAGTGGGATCCTCTGGACTTCAGAGGTTCACCAGCTCTGGAATAATAGGGAAGAATGGGGTGGAGGATCTGTCATCCACTCCCTGTGTGGCCTTGAGCAGTACATGGGCCTCATCTCCCCTTCTGTCCTGCTAGGTCAACCCCAGCCACCTCGCAGGGGTGGTTTGAGAAATGAGCGTTTCAACTAAGGCCTCTCCTGCTAGGAATATAGGGTCTTGCCCCCTCTGCATGCAGCGCACCCCCATTCATCTTCCCAAGCTGGGCCTGGAGAGGGGCTGGGAGAGGCAAATCCAGGCCCTCTAGAGACTGAAGCAGAGCCAGCTGTGTCCATGGCAACCGTAGCAGTGAGGGAAGGGGCAGCTGGGCCTTGTGTAATGGGAGCAGCCGTACAGAAGGGCGGATCAGCTGGTGTGGCTGCTCAGACCTTGCTCACAAGAGACTCACGTGTCCAGCTGGGTACTCTCTGCTGCCCTCCATGAATGGCTGTTCAGAAAGAGAGAAAAGAATCAGCAGCATTTAGGACCGCTGCAGTCCCCTACCTATGCCTGGGAGATGGGCAGAGCCCTGGCTTTGGCCTTTAGAGCTCCTCATGTTCCCATTCAGCTGGTCAGTGGTGGCTTCTTGCTGGCATTTTGAACATCCCAATTCCTAGGCCCCACCTTGTACTTACCAAATCAGAATCTCTGGTGACAAGCCCCAGAAATCTGGGCTTTCATAAGCCCATCAGGTGGGAATGATACAGCCAGCTGCCGCCTGTTTCAGCCCCAGTGTGCCAAATCATTCCTGGCCATTGCCTCTCAGTGTTAACCAGACCCACACTGGGCACAGGCTCCTGCCTGTGGCTCCTGGGCCCTCTTTCTGCCATCACCTTCTCTTCCCCCTCAGCCCGCTCACACCTGAAACCTCAGTGGACTCCCTCCCCCTTGGCTATTACTGGTGCACAGGGCCTCCTCCCTCTCTCAGTCTAGGGTGGAGGAAGGGGTCCCAGGCCTGTCCAGGAGTCAGGGGAAATTAGACACTGCCATTGCCCAGGCCTTGGTCCCAAGGAAACTTACATTGATGTTCAGGAATCCAACAGCCTCTACCAGGATGTCACCAAATATGCCCAGCGTGTCCACATGAGACAGTGGGAGTCGGTAGCGGAAGTGGAGAAAGTGCTGTCCATTCACGCTCACCTGGAGAGACAGACAGAGGCTGGCTCATCAGCAGCTAATGTTCATTGAGTTCATAACAACGTCCCAGGCATTGCCAAGCACTTTTCTCTCAATTTTCCTCACTTAACTTCATACCAACTCTATGAGGTAGGTACATTTTACAGAGCCTTGGGTGGCTTAAGTAATCTTCCAAAGGTTGCAGAGGTGGCCTGGAGATCAAGGCACCTTCAACGCTCCCTCTACCCCAACAAAGGCCCCTCATTGTGCTTTCTCAGCAGCCCAAAGAATCATCTTCACTCCATTTACGTGAGGAAACTGAGGCTCAAGAGGCTTCCCTCCCACCAGCTGCCCTGTCTCCTGGAGAAATCTGAAGATCCCATCATGTTTCTGGCAGGAGCTCACATTAGAGGTCAAAACCTTGAGGTCAAGTTCTCTCTTCCTCTTCCCTGCCACTGTGGCTGTAAGATGGGGATAATGAAGGTACCTACCTAATGGGGTTATTGTGAGGATTCAATGAGCAGATACCTTTAAAGGGCTTAGAACAGTTCCTGGTATACAGCAGGCGCTCTCTAAGTGCTTGCCATGACTATGACAGCAGTGCCCTCTTTGGAGCCAGGCACCATAGAGCTTTCTTGCTGCCATGTAGGCCCAGGGCAGCCTGGAACTGGGCATGGCAGCGTCTTGGTCCTCTTGGTACTCGACCACTACCAATGACACCCAACACTGCGGCGTGGGGAGTCTGGGAAGGGAAGGAAGGGTGCAAGAACACAAATTCTAGACCACCCAATGCCCATCCCTTCCTTCACCTTCACTTCCTCATTCCCAAAGAGAAAGAGGATGAGGAAGCTGGAGCCTTTCTGCAGGGCCAGGTGGGGCCACCGAGCCTCCCTTTGCCAGCGTCCACCATGCAGAGTGTTGCAGATGACGTGGGGCTTGGTGGTATGGAAACGAGGGTTGAAGTGGAAGGCGATATCTGGCCGGGGACACAGGCTGCAGCCACACTGGAAGTCCACCTGAAACCTACTGGGAGGTGAGCCTCTCGAAGTGCAGTTCTCACCAGAGACCCACAGAGATCCCGGAGGCAGCGAGGAGCCCTCCAGCTTGACGCCTCTAGGACTGAGCTCCTGGGTCACCTCCCCCACCTTACCTGTGTGCATCTAGAGGGACCACTCCTTGCAGCATGACCATCTTGCCTGCATGCAGGCCTCCAAAAATTGTCGTGACATAAGGAACCACCTGAACAAGAAGAGAAACTCATCCATGCAGGTTTGGAGAAAGGGCTTAGGAACCTCTATGTCAGGGGAGTGGGAGGAAAGGAGCAGAATAAAACTCAACTTTTCCTCCCCAAACAGAAAATTCCTTAGAGGTAAAAATCAGTGTTCACTGAAATATTTTCTTCCACCTAATCCCCTTTCCTGGACCTTCATACAGCAAAGCCACATTACACCAGAGAAGTCAAATTCAGCTCCCTTGCCAAATTCAGCACCAGCTAGCTGCCTTTCCCCAGCTCCTAGGGCACAACAGGCTGCAGTGACCCCAGGGACGCTTGCCATCCACTAGATGCCACCCTGGTCCCCAGAAGCCTGGTACTGGGACTTTCTGAGGACTGTTTAGTGGCTGGAGACTAGGAACTGGGAAGCAAGAAGAATGGACAAGTTAGGAACTGACAGCTAACTCTGAAATGGACCCCTGGAGAGACGCTTAACGATGGCCTTCCCAGGCTCACCTTTCCCCAAGTAGAAGTTTCCTGGGCTGGGCTCTGTGGCTTATGCCTGTAATCTCAGCACTCTGGAAGGCTGAGGCAGGCAGATCAACTTGAGATCAGGAGTTCGAGACCAGTCTGGCCAACATGGTGAAACCATCTCTACTAAAAATGCAAAAATTAGCTGGGAGTGGTGGCATGCACCTGTAATCCCAGCTACTCAGGAGGCTGAGGCAGGAGAATTTCTTGAGCCTGGGAGGCAGAGGTTGCAGCGAGCTGAGATCATGCATGCCACTGTACTCCAGGCTGGGCAAAAAAAAAAAAACCCAGTCCCAAAAAAAAAAAAAAAAAAAAAAAAAAAAAAAAAAAGAAGTTACCTGGCCTTCCTAAAATACATTACACACTTTTACAACTTCCTGCCTTTTCTGGGCTGTTCCTCCTGTCTCTTTTCACCCTGACTCTTTTTCCAAGCATCATCCACTTGGGTTCCTGGATTATTCCTTTCTTCCCCGGAGCTCCCAGGGCATTTTGCTCATGTGGCTGGCTTGGCCCTTGGCTTAGAGGGTCTGGTTGGCTGTTTTCCCTAGGAGTTTATAAGCCCTTCAAAACTGAAGCCTTATCTTTCCCTCCTGTAGGCTCAGTGCCTCGCCTGGCACCGTGAGGGCTCTGCATAGATGTGTTCGGAATGAGTGTGAGCAGGACAGCAGGTACACACCAGTGGTATCACAAGATAGGCCTTCCTGTGTTGCTCTCTAACTCCCAGCAAACTTTAGGAACCCAAACCACCTAGAAAAACCTGAAACCCACCAGGATGGCCCTCCAGGTGGGAGCTCGCAGCCTCTAAAGCGAGGAGCTGCCGTAACCTGGGCAGCTGCTTCTGCCCATTCCTTAGGCACCTGAGAAGCATGGGAGGGAGGCTTGGGATGCCAGCCTGGCAAGCTCAGCTGGTTCAGCAGTTGATCACTTCCCATTCCCAGGCTTCCTCCAGGCTTGTAATTAACTGAGAGGACGCAGCTCTCATGGGAGGGGAGGGCCAAGTAAGGGAAAGTAATAATTAATGCTCATTAGTAGAGAGTGTCTGCTGGGAATTCAGCCTCCTGTAAATCATTGCCTGGCTTCAGGAAACCTCTTGGGCACTGACTGAGCAGGAGGAGGAAGAGAGACACCCCCCGCAACCCCCATCTCTAAGTGGAAATTCCCACCCGATCGTTCCTTCCAAGTAGGGGATGAGACTCTCCTTACTAAGTCATCAGCATCCCCCAACAATCCTACCCACGCCCTCATCCTCCTAGCATCCTTTACAGCAGGGGCAGAGCGCTGCGGCTCCAGGCTTCACCACTTTCAAAATGCAGCGACCCTGGAAGCCTAGCAGTCATTTACACCCAAGTGGGAATTAGCCGTCAGCCACTTCGCTTAGCTCAGGAGGGCCTTCCAGAACCCAGGGCAGGTGCTTGGGAGAAGCAGAGCCAAAAAGACTGAGGTCCTCTCTACCCCACCACCTAGGAGTCTGGGCCCAGTTGGAAGGGAAGAGCCCAGAGACCGAGGAGGTTCCACATTAGAGTGACAACTCACCGGGTGGAAGACTGGCGGTTGCAGAATGAAGCTGTCGGGAATTGGGTCCAGTTTTTCTCCAGGTGACATGAGGGTGGGGCAACTCCAACTGTGGATCTTCGTTCCGGGAGCCCTGCCCCCACTGGGCGGACTCACCTGTCCCAGCCAGGTCCTAAATGCCTGGAGCAGCTCTCCCAGCTGTTAGTCTCACCTGCGCCCTGCAGGGTCTTAATGCTGTCTGGAGCAGCCCTGGGAGGGCAGCGGGTGACCTCCAGGCTCCACACCAGCCCCACTCCCAGCGGTATAAGGTAGAGCTCTGACGGGGGGGGGGGGCGGCGGGGGGGGGGGGCTGTCGGCAGAACTCTGTGTCCGGGGGAGGAAGACTGGCATTAACCAACTAACCACCCATTCCGGGTCTGCAGCACGTGGCCAGAGGGAAGCCAGACGCTGGCTCCTGTGGGGTCAGTGAGGGTTTGTGGTTTCCAGCTCGAGACCTCATTGGGTCAGAGGAAGGGGAGGTGGTATGTGTGTTTAGGTTCCAGAAACAGCCCCACCCCCAGCTCCCTGGACAGCCTTGGGTGACTTCCCATTCCTTCCTCCCTTCACCGCAAAGGGTTTTTTATCTCTTCCCCTCAATTTCTTTCTTTTCTTTTCTTTTCTTTTTTTTTGAGATGGAGTCTTGCTCTGTTGCCAGGCTGCAGTGCAGTGGCGCAATCTCGGCTCACTGCAACCTCTGCCTCCTGGGTTCAAGCGATTCTCCTACCTTATCCTCCCTGTGACTACAGGTGTGCGCCCCCACGCCCAGCTAATTTTTGTATTTTTAGTAAAGACTGAGTTTCGCCATGTTGGCCAGGATGGTCTCCATCTCCCGACCTCGTAATCTGCCTGCCTCGGCCTCCCAAAGTGCTGGGATTACAGGTGTGAGCCACCGCACCTGGCCCTCTTCCCCCCATTTTCTTGTCCCTTCCTCCACTCTTCTTCCTTTTCCAAGTTTTACAGCCCCCTGAGGCTCCATGTCAGCCTGAAATGCTGGGGCCCAGCTGGGCTCACAAGAAAGTAGAATGAGGGAAGGGGAAAAAAACAGAACCCCTTAAGCTCGGAAAGGGCAGCACAAGAAGCACAGAACTGCACAGGGAGGAGACTTGAGACCTGAATTCTTCTTCAGCCTCTCGTCTAATGTGCTGTGTGCCCTTGGAAAAGTCACTTCCCATCTCAGGGCCATCCTTTGTTTCTCTGTACATGGAGAAAGTGACCACAGCAGCATGTCCCACAGGGAGGCCCGTGTCTCGGGGTGGACCCAAATATCTGCATTTTACTAGAGTCCTTCCAGTTCTGGTTCAAATCCCAAAAAGTCTTTCCCTTTAAAAAGAAACACAACCTCTCAACTTTATCCTGAGTGAGGAGGTCCGGGATCTGACCCATAGCGTCAGACTTGGCAGCAGGGAATTCCTGGACTGGGCCCAGGCTGGGCAAAGGCTCAAGCACATGGGGTGCTGAGGGCAGAGGACGGAGGGAGAGTGCATGAAGGGTCCTGGGATAAGGTGTCTTAGCCAGTGCTACCTAAGCTGTGGCCACCAGCATCAGCCTCACCTGGAAACTTGTTAAAAATGCAAGTTTCGGGTCCCCACCCCAGACCGACTGAGGAGCACTCTCTGGAAGCTGGGCCCAGGAATCTGCATTTTACCAGGCCCTCCAGGTGATTCTGATGCACTTTAAAGTTTGAGAAGCATTGACTCAGGATGGAACTGGAAGGGCTTCAGGTGCGGAGCTGAGTTTGTTCAGATGTTGCCGAGTAGGTGGAGCTGGGTGACTTAAGGGGCTTATTCGGGGAAATTCAGTCAGATGCGCTCAGGAAGGGTGCTCTGCATACACAGTGAGAGGAAGCCGGGGCTGGAGGGGCCAGTTTGTGGAAGAAAAGAGTCAAATTCCGAAATAGTTGAAGAGATTTATTCTGAGGCAAATATGAGAGACCAATGGCCTGTGACACAGCCCCAGGAGATCCTGAGAATGTGTGCTGAGGGTTATTGGGCTACATCTTGGTTTTATACATTTTAGGGAGACATGAGACATCAATCAATACATGTAATATGTACATTGGTTTGGTCCAGAAAGGTGGGACAACTCGAAGAGGTGGGCTTCCAGGTCATAGGCGGATTCAAAGACTTTCTGATTGGTTATTGGTTGAAAGAGTTAAGTAAGTACCTACAGACCTGGACTCAATAGAAGAGAGTGTCTGGGTTAAGTTAAGGGGTATGGAGGTTTTATCATGCAGATGAAGCCTCCAGGAAGCAGGCTTCAGAGCTCTTATCAGACCTAAAACGGTGCCTGGATCAGGGAAGAGACTTGGAAAGGGATGGGGATTCTCTGCAGAGTAGATTTTCTCCACAAGAGCAAGGTTTGCAGGGCCGTTTCAAAATATGTCAAATAAATATATTAATATTTTGGGGTAAAATACTTTAATTTCTTCCAGGGCCCACTCTCATGTGAGGCTATACTAGAGCCAGGTTAGAACTTGGTGTCTTATTGCTGCAATGAGTGTTTGGTCAGTCTTCAGATCTTTGTTTTAATGTTAATGCTGGTCGGTTGTGCCTGAATTCCAAAGGGAGGAGATGGCATAATAAGGCATATCCAACCCCCACTTCCCATCACAGTCTGAACTGTTTTTCAGGTTAACTTTGGAATGCCTTTGGCTGAGAGGAGGCGTCCATTCGGTTGGTTGTGGGGCCTAGAATTTTACTTTTGGTTTACAAGTTGAATGGGTCTGGACATGGGACACTGCACTGGAATCAGATCTGGGTCCTAGTCCCAGCCCCTGGAACCAGTGCAGATCTTGCAGCTTGAGGCCATGGTGCACGGTCCCCATCCAGCCTTACTTCCTTCCTGGGTGAAATGAGGAAGGAGGATACGTTCGTTTGCTTGGGCTGCTGTGGATGAAAAAAGTCCAACTCTGTAAAATATTTAAAGAGGTTTATTCAGAGCCAAATATGAGTGACCAAGGCCCAAGGCACAGTCCCAAGAGGTCCTGAGAATATGTGCCTGAGGTGATTGGGCTGCAGCCAGGTTTTATGCATTGGTTCAGTTTCCAAAGGTGGCACAATTCAAAGAGACAGTCAGGGTGGGGGTTACAGGTCATAGGGAGACTCCAAGACTTTCTGATTGGCTATTGGTGGAAAGAGTTAAGTTACTATCTAAAGGTCTGGAATCAATAGAAAGGAGTGTCTGGGTCAAGATAAGAGGTGGTGGAGACCAGGGTTCTCATTATGTAGATGAAGCCTCATGGGTGGCCACCCTTAGAGACAATAGATAGCAAACGTTTTCTATTCAGACCCCAAAAAGGTGCTAGACTCAATTAATTTCTTCAGGCTTGGGAGGGCCTGGAAGGGGGAAAGGTCTAGTTATGTTAGCAGAGATTTTTTACAAACGCAATTTCCCCCCACAAGAATGGCTCTGCAGGCCATTTTAAAATGTGGCAAAGAAACATATTTGGTGGTAAAATATTTGATTTCCTTCTTATCTGTCTTGTGATGTTATGCCAGAGTCAGTATGGAAAGCAAGCCACATTATATAAGGTTAAACAAAACCCCTCTGTTGAGATTTTATGGTTTGTAGGTTGTGACTCCCCAGGCCCCTTAAATAGGAATTTAGCAAGAGAAGAAAAACGTCAGAGTTTAGTCCTCACTGCCATAACAAAACCCACAGACCAGGTGGCTTGAACAACAGAAACTTATTTTCTTACTGTTCTGGAGGCCAGAAGTCCAAGATCAATGTGTCAGAGGACTTGGTTTCTTCTGAGGCCTCTCTGTTTGGCTTGCAGATAGCCACCTTCGCCAGGTCTCTGCGTTTGTGTCTTAATCTTCTCCTCTTATGAGGACACCAGACATATTGGATTAGGGCCAAATCACATGACCTCCTTTTACCTTAATCACCTCTTAAAATGCCTTGCCTACAGATACAGTCACATTCTAAGGGTCTGGGGCTTCAACACAGGGTTTTTGGAAGGACCCAACTCAGCCCCTAAGAGAGAAGTAGCTGTAACTGTTATCTTCCTGAAACCGCAAGGCTATTGCCACAGTCGAAGGTGAGGCTGATGAGGCCTGTTCCGGGGAGGGAGCAGCAGGAAGAGGATGGCGCATTTCCTTTCTCTTTTTACATAACTGCTTTTTGATAGCTGGGAGGGACTTTACTGGGCTTGTCAAGAGCTTGTGCTTGCTCCAGAATAAGAAAGGACCTCAGTGTCTGTGAGCGTCTGGGGGTGAGGCAGGGCAAATCTCTCTTCCAGAGCCAGAATGAGGGAGAACTTGTGAGAGGAATCCAGGAAACTGCTGGTGACCTCAGGGGGCCAATGGCCTAGGGTGACCCTGACACTGGCAGGGGAGCATCTATTCCCACCTGTTGACAAAAAGAGTCGAACTCTAAAATATTTGAAGGGCCGGGCGCGGTGGCTCAAGCCTGTAATCCCAGCACTTTGGGAGGCCCAGGCGGGCGGATCACGAGGTCAGGAGATCGAGACCATCCTGGCTAACACAGTGAAACCCCGTCTCTACTAAAAAATACAAAAAAACTAGCCGGGCGATGTAGCGGGCACCTGTAGTCCCAGCTACTCAGGAGGCTGAGGCAGGAGAATGGTGTAAACCCGGGAAGCAGAGCTTGCAGTGAGCCGAGATCCGGTCACTGCACTCTAGCCTGGGCAACAGAGTGAGACTCCGTCTCAAAAAATAAAATAAAATAAAATAAAATATTTGAAGAAATTTATTCTGAGCCAAATATGAGTGACCATGGCCCATGACAGCCCTCAGGAGGTCCTGAGAACATGTGTGCAAGGTGTTTGGGGTACAGCCTGGTTTTATACATTTTAGAGAGGTATGAGACACCAATCAAATACATTGAAGAAATACATAGGTTTGGGGCTGGGCATGGAGGCTCACGCCTGTAATCCCAGCAGTTTGGGAGGCTGAGGTGGGTGGATCACTTGAGGTCAGGAGTTTGAGACCAGCCTGGCCAATATGGTGAAACCCCCATCTCTATTAAAAACACAAAAAAATTAGCTGGGCATAGTGGTGCACACCTGTGGTCCCAGCTACTCAGAAGGCTGAGGCACAAGAATCACTTGAACCCAGGAGGCAGAAGTTGCAGTAAGCTGAGATCACACCACTGCACTTCAGCCTAGGTGACAGAGCAAGACTCCATCCATCTCAACAACAACAACAACAACAACAACAAAAACCATATACATAGGTTGTTTGGTCCAGAAAGGTTCGACAACTCAAAGTAGGAAGGAGGGGGGTGGGGGCTTCCAGGCTATAGGTGAATCTAAACATTTTCTGGTTAACAATTGGTTGAGTTTGTCTAAAGGCCTGGAATTCATAGAAAGGGACAGTTCAGATTAAGATAAAGATTGTGGAGACCAAAGTTCTTTTGAAGCCTGATGGTGGCTGCCCTTAGAGGCAATAGATGACAAACATTTCCTATGCAGATCTTAGTTAATCTCTTTAGGAGACTGGGAGAGTCTGGAAGGAAAAGACCGAGCTATGTTAATAGAGATTCTTTACAGATGCAAATTTTCCCCCACAAAGAACAACTTTGCAGGACCCTTTCAAAATATG